GCTCGCTGGGCAGCCCGGCGGCTCGCGGAGGAGGCCTGAACGTGAGCCTCCCGGAGGCAGGAGGCGGGCCGGCCTCATCTGGGGATGAGGACCTTCTCGATGGCGCACAGGATGTGGTCCCAGTTCTTGCAGAACACGGCGAGCAGCGTCACGGCGCAGAAAGTGCCCAGGATGTGGAAGCGGCTCCTCATCATGGGCGACACGAACCTGGCCATGGTAGACACGCACACCAGGACCACGGTCATGAAGGCCAGCACCACACTGATGCACTTGCCCAGCAGCACCCTGGCGCTGGCGCCGTCCGTCTGCAGGGCCTGCTGCTCCTGCTGGTGCAGCTCCAGCTTGGACACGCGCGTCTGGCAGGACTCCAGGGCCTCCTGCGGGCGAGAGGGAAGCAGGTCATGCCGGGCGGCCTGGGCTGCCCGCCGCGAAGCCCCCGTGGGCCCTGGCGACAGGGCCGTGAACCGGGCCCCAAGGCCCGCTGCCTGCTGCTGCTCAGGGGAGAGTGACCGTGTGTGCCGACCGTGTGTGCAGCCATATGCACTCAAGCATGTGGACAAGGTGTCTAAATAACCGTGTGTATTCAGCCGTGTACGCTCAGAGCCATGTGTAGACACAACTGTGTGTACACAACCATGGCTCACGGGTCACACCGCCCTGCACTGCAGCCAACTTGGCTCTCCCCTAGAGTGCCTGTTTTCCCACGCCCGGCCCATAAGCCACCCAGTTCCACACACCCGAGGCCTCAGGGGCATCCCCGACATGCTGTCCCCAGCCCGTCCCCAGCCGCTGAGGCAACAGCCAGCATCCAGCTCCAACCGTCCGCTTCTCCCACCCACAGTGGCCACCCCCGCCGCCCACCAGGCCTCCTGCCTGCCACGACCCTCCAGAGGTCCCCACTCCTCTCAGGACCCCCAGGCCTCCCGCCTGCCACGCCCCTCTGAGGGTCCTCACCCCTCTCCGCCCCCCGACCTCACACCACCCACCTCTGGAGGTCCCCACCCTCTGGGTCCCACCTCCACAAGGCCATGTTCACACAGCACATCAGTGCCAACCGTGCATACACCGTTCAAGCCCCTGCCATGGCCCTCAGAGGCCTTGCCAGGCCCAGGCTCAGCCCCTCTCCTGTCTCAGTGGCCTCAGGCCAGCCCCTCACGGTGTCCTCACAGTGACCTGGCCGGTCTGGCTTCCGGTTCCAGATTCCAATTCTGAAATTGACTTTCAAAGACGGGGTCTTACTACGCTGTCCAGGCTCTCCTCAAACTCCTGGCATCAAGCGATCCTCCTCCTCAGCCTCCCCGGCAGCTGGGATTACAGGCACACACCACTGCGCCTGGCCTTCTTCCAAGTTCTGAAGAGGAACGTGTGCTCACCCCAGGGCCCGTGCACATGCAGTGTGCTCTGCCTGGAACGGGTGCCCCCTTCCCCGGTGGCTCCCGCCCTCGTCTTCCAGGTCTGCCCTGCCTGCTGCACCCTGAGCAGCGCCTTCCCTGACCCGTCGGAGGAGACCCAGCCCCCTCCAGCGCTCCGCCCCCTGCGAGACACACACACGGCCGGAGGACAGCGCCGGGCTGCCTTGCCACCACCTGCGCCCGCACGGCCACACTGGGGGCTGGGCGGGGCGAGTGGCTTCAGAGCTACAAGCCCCCGAGCCACTGGAGGCCAAGCACCTGCCCACGGGTGGCACCGGCACCTCTGCCAGCGCGCCGGGTGGCCGCCATCCGGCTCACGATCCGAGGGGCACGCGCCCAGCGAGAACACAGCCCTCTTTCCAGGCTTGACACCAGGGCATGGCTCCAACACCCACCTGCCTTTCGTCTGCCGAATAACTCCAGGGGCCAGAGACCTGGGCTCTCTGTTACCAGAGGGACTCCTGAGTCGCTGGGCCAGCAGCAAGGGAGGGGCTGTCCCCAGACCTTGTCCGCTGCAGGGCACCTTCCACAGTGGCAGGCACGCGCAGAGGCCGCCTTCCTTCGACTGCGGGGCTAAGGCTGCCCACCCGGGCACCGTGACAAGCAGACAGAAGAGCCACGCTCAAGCCACCCTCCTTGTCCTGGAGGCGGAATCTCCCTCCGTGGCCCAGGCTGGAGTGCAGGGGCACGCTCACAGCCACCACAGCCTCGACCTGCTGGGCTCCGGGGATCCTTCCTCCTCAGCCTCCCGAGTAGCTGGAACTATAGGAGCACACTTCCATGCCCAGCTAACGCGTCTTTTTTTTTTGTAGAGACCAGGTCTTGCCCCATTTCCCAGGCTGGTCTTGAACCCAAGGGCCTCTCGCCTCCACCTCCCCAAGTGTTGGGATGGCAGGTGTGAGCCACCGTGCCCGCACGTGCAAATGAGCTGATCTCAGAATTGTCTCACAACTGCTGTCAAACTTTTTACTGAAAGGAAATCCAAAACAACGAAGCAGGAATCACAAGGAATTTTAGTCACTGGACCAAGACACACTCAGCACCCGTTTCAGTCCTCTCTCGGGTTCGGTGACTCGCTTACTGGCCTGAGGACAGAAGGGATTCCCTCTCCACATTTAGTTGGGAATTCCGTTTCTTGTTGTTGTTTGGTTGGTTTTTTAAGCAAAGCTGCTTAAAACAACACACAATCCTTGCACGGGGTAGCCGTGACCCTGCCTAGAAGAACACAAGAAATGGGAAGAAGGCAGGGTGTGGTGGCTCAGGCCTGTCATCTCAGCACTCTGGAGGCCGAGGTGGGAGGATCGCTGGACCCCAGGAGCTCAAGACCAGCCCGGGCCACACAGGAGGCCTTGTCTACGCAAAAACAAAAAAGTTAGCCAGGTAGGGTGGTGTGCACCTGTCGTCCCAGCTCTTTGGAGGCTGCGGTGGAAGGAGCGCCTGCGCCCACGAGGTTGGGGCTGTGGTGAGCCAGGATGCCACCGCTGCACTCCAGCCTGGGCAAGAGAGCGAGACCCCGACTCAAGAAATAGAGACAACAGCGAAACAAGACAGGACGCCAGGAGGAAGCCCAACTGCCAAAGCCCCGAGGGACACGGCCACTCGCCACGAGACCAGCGGCCGGCAGGGACCTGCTGACTGCTCGCTCTGTGTCTGGCGAAGGCACCACCCACTCACGTCCCTGGATGACACCTTTTGAGGCAGAGCTCATGACGTGCCATTTCACGACGAGGAGCTGAGGCACAGAGCTCATCGGGGGCTGCAGCGCATGGGTGGGGAGCGCAACACCGCAGGCGGGTCGCTCACAGGCGTCCTCCCTGTGACTCCGGGCGAGGAGGCCAGGAAGCAGCCGCCTGCGCCCTCTGCCCAGCAGTTTCTCTTGGCAGTCCTGCCTTTTACCTGACCTCTTCACCGCAAAGAAAAGGGAGGCACGTTGCACTTAGGGTTCAGGGAGAGGAGACACATGTCTATACAAAAGGGAAGGCTAAGACGACCCCAAACGTCCCTAACTAAGAAGGCCACACAGTCAGACCCCACCGGGGCCACTGAGACATGTTCTGAACCAACTGCATGGTTCCCCCGGCACCAGTGGTATTAGGCGTGCTGCCGCAGCTCACAGCAGCTGGCGGCAAAGCCACATCTAGCTGGAAACCTTGCCCTCCTCAGAGCGGAGCACCCAGGGCCAGGCAGAACCCAACCCGGCACACACGCCACGGGCACACGCTGCAGGGACCCCACTACCTAGGGTTCCGCTTTCTCCCCGAGAAGTGGGGCTTGGACACCAGGGCCTTCACGGACCCAGAGAGAGGACCGCTGTCCACACAGGCGACATTTGCAAAACGAAGCTGAGCACTACCCGAGGACACTTCTTCTGTCTGTTTTTTTAGAGACAGAGTCTGCTCTGCCACCCAGGCTGGAGGGCAGAGGTGTGATCACAGCTCACTGCAGCCTCCAACTCCTGGGCTCAAGCCGTCTTCCCACTTCAGCCTCCCGATAGCGGGACTAACCGGCGCGAGCCCCCCGGCCCCTGTGTCAAGGCAGTCAGGAAACCCGGGGCTGCTCGCCACACGCCAGCACCATGCAGGAAACGCTGGGCGCACCTGTGTCTCCGATTCCACCGTCCTCCCCTTCCGCCCGCCCACACCCTCCAGGTTCCTCCAGCCGCCTCTCCCAGGACAGCCACTCTTCCGGGACGAGCCGCAAGACCCTGCTGGGCCACCTAACCCTTCTGTGCCTCAGCCTCCGTGTCTGAGAAGTGGGCATAACAGCAGGAGCCCCCTACACTGAGAAGCAAGCAGGAGAGGGCGAGGCGGGGAAGGCCGTGCGCTGCAGAGCGTGATTCCCACAGACTCCAACGCTCCCGATTCACGGAGAGCAGACAGCGCCGGAGGGCTGGGGCCATGTGGCTGACCGGGGGCAGACCTGGGATGGAAACCCGGTGCTTTGCCAGAGTGGCCACCGGCCCCCCAGGCCACAGCTTGCTGGGCACCACGCGTCTGAACCTCCGTGGCTCGCAGGGTCCGCACCCTGCAATCCCCCTTCTCGCCGTCTGCCAGTGGAGCGACTCCAGACTCGCCCCCAGCAGTAAGCCTCTCGAAGGCAGGGTCTGTGTTGTAGTCTTAATTTTTTTTGAGTTGGGGTCTCACTGTCACCCAGGCTGGAGTGCAGTGGCATCACCATGGCTCACCGCAGCCTCAACCTCCTGGGCTCAGACAAGCTTCCCGCCTCAGCCTCCCGAGCAGCTTCCCGAGGCGTGGGCCACCACACCCGGCTGATCTTTCGGTTTCTTGGAGAGACCAGGTCTCGCTCTGTTGCCGAGGCTGATCTCAAACTGCTGGGCTCAAGCAATCCTTCTGCCTTGGCCTCCCAAGGTGCTGGGATGACAGGCATGAGCCACCACACCCGGCCTCATATTCTTAAATGCTAGCAATTTCGGTGGCGATGGGCCTGGGGTGGATGGGCATGTGTGACCTGACTGGGTGGAAAGCATGGAGGCTTTTCAGTCTCTGCTTAGTAACATCTGTACCACAAGCTGCTGGGGCTACCGAGGGGGAGAGAGAATGTCTGTGAGAAGACACTGTGTCTCGCGTGCCGGGAGTCCTCAGGACGCGGACGCGATGCCTGCGAAGCCTGGGAGCACCCTCGCCCCCTCGGGACAGCACCTGGATGTCGCGCGCGCGCTCACAGGCCTGGTAGGCCACCTTCTCCTCCACGCTGGCCAGTTCCTGCTTCAGGTTGGCCGTCTCGTGCTGGTGCAGCTCAGTCAGGTCGTGCAGCTGGTCCTCCAGCCGCTCATACCTGGAAGAGAGGGAGCGAGGCGTGGCACGTCCCGGCACGCCGGCCTTCTGGGTTCCCGCCACCCATGCCTCCGGCTGGGGTTGTTCCTGGCAGACTGTGTTCCCAAAAGCACAGCCAGGCTGCCAGGAACTTGCCTCCGGACAGCACCAAAGCCCAGCTCTGGGCAGGACCGGGTTTGGCCCTCTGTCCTCACCACGGGGGCGACACGCCGGACCAGTACCTGGGCTGGCGGCAGTGACAGTGGGACGGACCTCATCAGCGGAGGCACTTGCCGGGGCCAGTCGGGAGACAGGCTCTCTGGGACCCGCTCAGCCCAGGGCCAGGGAGCCCGAGGGAAGCACCGTGCTGTGGCCTCCCGTCTGCTCAAAGCTGAGCCCACTCTCCCCCATGTGCACCCTCAGCTGAACACTCTTCCCAGCTCAGGGAACGCCAGTACCCCCGCAGAGCTGAGCTGGGCACAGCTACAGAGGCCTACCAGTGGCTTCCTAGAAGTCCAGGCCTACAGCGACAGAACGGCAGAGACACCCAGCCCACTGCCACCCTGAGAGGAGGCTCTGCCGTACACTGAAGCCTCCATGTCTGTTTCGAACCAGGACGAACATGGAGGAGAGGCCTCCGTGAGCCGGGGAGACTCAGGTTGGGGCTGGTTCCAAAGGCTTACATGGGCCACCTGACAAACTCATTTTTTAACAGGAGGCAGAAAAGCTTAATCCAGATTTAGTGATTATTCACCGAGGCCAGATGTGGCTCCGGTTGTAAACAAGCCTTTAAAGATCTCTTAAGTCCTATTGTGGGTGGCTTTATAATGGGGCCACAGACGTGACCACAGGATCAATCAAGCCAGTCTGTCCTCAACTTACGTAAGTGGATGTTGGGAACTGGGATAAGGGGAGCATCTAAAAAGGGCCATATCCCAAACTACTTGAGTGGAATTGAGGTCAATATTCTCTGGAAAAGCCGTTGACTTAAAAATAGTTCTGGTGTGACAAAGATACCAATGTCAAACATCTATGGAAAGTTTTAAAAAATTTTTTCATAAAACAAGGGTTGAAAAAGCCACATTTCTAAATTAATACATACATAAAATCGTACATCACTTATAAAACAAGGTGGAAGCTAAACTTAAAATTTAAAAGTCACAACATATAATAGGCCTTTCATTATTTTATCTAGGTTCTTAGAGGTTAACATATTAACTCTGACAAAAAACTCTAGGGCAACGTTTTATTGGAAAAATTATGTTCCTTTTGGACATATGCGCTTTTCATTAATAAGCTTTAAGCACCTAAAAGCCAGCCTACAAAAATCTACTTTTAAAATTAGCCAATATGACCCACGATGCTTTACTCTTAGGATCATTTTTGAAAGCTCTTCATTCAGAGTAAAAAGTGTCCTGAGCAAGATGTTGTTCCTATAAAAACGCAGCACGAGGACCTGCAGACTGCTGCATCAAACAGTCTGCCTTGCTGGGCAGTGGACGCGCCCTTGACCTGACTGCCTGGGGAAGTCAGGACAGATTCTGAGCTGGTGTGATCAGGGTCTCCGGGTGCACAGCCTTCTCTGCACGGCCAGCTGTGAGCCGCAGATGACAAGCCTGGACACCAGGAAGCACGGCAGGGTCTACAGGCTGAGCGGGCCTCATCTGAAACGCTGGGGGCACGAGAGTTTTGAATTCCGATGCTTTCAGATTCCGGCCCGTCTGCACATACGGAATGGGGCCTCTTGGAGGTGAGACCCAAGTCTGACACGAAATGCGTTTGTTTCTTCCGCACCACACACGTAGCCTGTGGGTAACGCGATACGATGTTTTGCATTTCAATTACGCATTACTACGACTACTGTCACTACTTTTCTGAGTTGGAGGCGCACTCGGTCGCCCAGGCCGGAGTGCAGCGGCCGCTCCGGCCCCCGCAGCCTCGACGCGCCGGGCTCCGGCGACCCTTCCGCCTCCGCC